CAAGGCGGTCCTCTTCCAATGTCAACAGGGAACGCAATGAAGAAATCCACATATGGGGTGGGACTTTCCCATCACCAGCCTACCGAGCAGCGCGCAATGCCGCGCCACTTTGATGCGGGGTTTTCCCTGTGGGAGTTCGGTTTTCCAAAACCTCTGAATCGTGTCTTCCTTAAAAATGGGGAGAGCGACGCGGGGGGAGCCGGCGGAAGTGAGGTCTTGTTCTGGAACGGATGGAAAACATTTCCTTTCGCAGCTGTCTGAATAATCAGGCCCCCACGCCTCCCTCTCCTTCCCTTGCAAGGCCCAGAGGAAAGGAGAATCTAAATGATTCTTCCAGATCCGGTTTCCTTGACCCGGCTTCTGTTCCAAATATAGGTCAATATATAGGTAGAGAGGTGGTGTATCCCAACAGCTAGAAAGTTCAGCTCAGTGCTGAACAGCTATTCGCGAAGTTAAGATCTCTGGGTTGCGCTTCCGATAAATAAATAACTCAAAATAAAATTAAAAAAACAGAAAGGCGGGGGGATGAAAAAGAACAAGCATAGCATAATGAAAGATGTCAAAGAACTGAATTGACATGATCCAGAATGCCCGACTGGCATTGACTTGAACATTGGGGGTGATGTGCCAGCGGCCAGCCGAATGTTAGGCTGGCAAAGCTGCAATGAGGCCACTGAGTGTTCACAAACGTGCAAATGACGCCGTTCCACCACAAGCAAAAGAGAAACGATGACCGATTCGGAGGGGAAAGTATTCTTTGCGGAGCAAAATCTCCCAAGCTCTCCGATTAGGAGGAACGGGTCGCAACTTAGAGGCTGGGTTCAGGCTGGCTAAACCCAGGTTACAAGCCCCCCAACCAGACTCTGTTCATCTAACATTCTCTGTCTTAACAAATAAACCACGTAAAGGCACGACATGATGGTTCGGTTCAATTGCGTGACATGCTAAGACAATGGCTGGGGTCCACCAAGAGGCTGAATTATAAACGACACGGGCCTGTTTTAACCTAGTCTAGAGGAACCAGTCATAACGCTGGTCAGAACAGACAAACATGCTAACCTGGTTTAAGGGAGCATCTTCTGGAAGTAAGTTGGATTAAGAAACCAAACTCTATCTATCTGCGCCTGAGGTCGAACGGTTTAGCTTTGGGTAATCTGTTTCCTTGAGGGAACACTTCCCCAAGTTTCTAGTCCCTATGGCTGCTGAAAAAGCTACAAAGTTTGCCAAGGGTCTAAAGCAGTGTTTCTCAACCTTGGCCACTTGAAGGTGAGTGGACTTCAACATGGCTGGCTGGGGAATTCTGGGAGTTGAAGTCCATCTACCTTCAAGTGGCCAAGGTTGAGAAACAATGGTCTAAAGCAAGAGGCATGATGCAAACATTAACCAATGTATGCAACCTTACGTAAGGTATCACTGATCCAGAGGCAACATTTACTGCACCAACTGAAGGTTGATAACATGGTGGCATTTCCAGGTTTTGTCAGGCTAGGTGTTAAAACTCTGCCCGCAGGAACTATTATAAATTATTTATTGAGTTTCATTCCAGTCTGGGATTCTTAGCTGGAGGAGAGTGGAGACTTGGGGCGGGGGGAAAGCCTTTAAGGTTCCCAGGACTTAGTTTTCCACTTTGCTTCTGAATATCTAGAGCTATTTTAAAAAAATCATGCCTCACTTTCTTGCCCCGATCTTTGGCTTGGCTTCAGATGGCACTTATATCAGGAGATGGAACGCTTGGTTCAGAAAGCACAGCGTGAAGAAAATCTATTCCTAAATCCTTTTCCTTCAGTGGTCTCCATTTGCCTGATGCAAAAGTGGATATAATTCAACTGGAAAAAAAAGGGCCGGCAGGAAGGCCAGGAATTTCCAAGAAACAAGACGGAGGCACAGATTGCCTTAATGACATTGGCAACCTGTGTGCCAAAGGATTGCAGTTCTCCACCGGGAATCATTTTGCTCATGAGCTACTCGAAGAGATGCTTCAGGCTCCGGTCTGGAGCAAGACCTCTCTCGTCACTCCTGTAGGTCCAGCGGAGCAAAATAAGAAAATAAAAAGCAGTGGGAGGAGAAGATGAGAACCTCTGGGCCGTGAGAGCAGATGTGGCGGGTGGCAGAGAGGAGCCGAGGGAAACACGTGCGAAATCATTAGCCTATAGATTAAAAGATCGGGTGGGGGGTAAAAATAAAGGAGCAGAGAAGAGGGAGGAGGAGGAAGAGAAGAAGGAGTAGGAAGGTGGAAGAGGAGGAGGTGGTGGAGGAGGAGGAGATGGAGAAAGAGATGTAAGGAGGAAGAGAAGGAGATGAAGGAAAAGGAGATGACGGAGGAGGAGGAGGACGAGGGGAAGGGGAAGGAGGACAGGGCAGGCATGTACAAAGAAGAGAGTACAGGTCTGGACGTTTATGAGAAAATTACGAAGATGCTTTGCATCGTTTTTGTGGGGAGGGATGCTGAGGCTTCCAACAGGGGCCGCTTGGAGTTGTACAAAAGGCCCAGTTCAGTTGGCCAAAAGCTCGTCCAACCCCAAGTCTTTTTTTGGACAGCACTGGAAGGGAGGCACTCCCAACCCTGACTGTCGGAACCAGAGCCGAAGCAGAGACAGTGGGAGAGCCGGGGGTCAGCGGAGGACAAAGAGAAACAAAGGAGAGAGGAGGGAGACGGGCGGACGCGGAAGAATCGCACCGCATGGGTCCATTGTGAGGGGAACCTTATACAGAACGTGACAATATATATGTGACTCATTCCTGAAACGTCAGCCGAACCTCACGGCGCCAGGCCAGTGGCCACGCGAACGCAGGGCTGCTCTTTCCGCCGTTTGGTTGCCGGAATCTCGGAATGGTGGTGGAGGAAAGCCTCCATCGCACAAAAGTAGATCTCTTCCAAACACCGAAGGATCTACGTGGCCATGGCTCACTTTCTCTGTTATCGCTATACCATTTGACCCCATCGTTGCTATCACACTGTGTAGCGGTGAGGTCCTCTGCATGGCGGGGCGTGCGTGCGTATTTTCTACTGAGTTTCCCAATTCTATACAATTGGATGACCTTCATTTTATAATTATGAGAAATGGGGGGGGGGGACGCACATACCTCCCCTCCCCTTCTTCCGTGGGGGTAGGGATCTGGGGACCCTCTCAATTACAGCTCCTCCTGTTCTCTGTCGTTGGCCAAAAGCCGGCTGACCCTGATGGGAACTAGCCCTAGTGTGGACAATGATTTTCTCTTTCTCCCATCTTTTTAATAATAAAATTAAAGTCATCTAAATGAATTCAGAGGCAGATAAACCATTCCGATTCTTAAGTCTTTTTTCTGTTCCTTTAAAGATGGAAATAATGTTACAAATGGAGTTTTGCCAGGAAGGAAGGAAGGCAGAAGAAAGAGGAAGAGGAAGGGAAGGAGAGAGAGAGAGAGAGAGAAATGAAAAAAGGAGGGAGGGAGGGAGGGAGGGAGGGAGGGAGGAAGGAAGGAAGGAAGGAAGGAAG